ATAATTAACTCCTGGGTTGAGGGAACCATTCACAAAATTGTTATCAGTTACTCACTCCCTTTGGTGATTACCGTGGCCATAGGTTTATTAAGTAGATCCCAGTCAGGCAATCCCTACCAGGAGCATTTGTGGAATAGAGGGGGAACCTAAAGTGTTTTCCCCACCCCATCCCACCCCGGTCTGTCTCCCATCCTTGGAGATTGAAACCAACCCCCCTTTGCCATTTCTGTTCCATCTTCTTACACCAATGAAAATTTTTAATTTTCAGCCAAGCAACCATCCATCAGTACCATGTGAGTCCATGGGCAATGCGAGAACAGACGAAAAATCAGATTGGATGGAGAAGGCAACTGTGTCTTATCTATCTTCCTCTTACAATACTGTCCTTCCAAGAACACAAATCTTTCAGTGCTACTTGCCTAAGTCATCAGACATGCCAACAAAGCCACACTACTTCTCTCTATGGGGCATTTAGAAAACCAAAGCAAGCTACTTGGCCAAATAGTGATGGAGGCCAGCTTGCAGTACAACGAATGACGTTTTCCTCTGGAGGGTGCACTGCTTCTAGATGTGGAATGAGTCTTTATATACAATATAAAGTCTTTATATGCAATATAAATATATATTTACAACGAATGACGTTTTCCTCTGGAGGGTGCACTGCTTCTAGATGTGGAATGAGTCTTTATATTTTATTTTATTTTATTTTATTTTATTTTATTTTAATTTATTTATTTATTTATTTATTTATTTATTTCATTGAGTCTTTCATTGAGTAAGACCCTGGAAAAATCTGAGAATTATATAGGCAAAAAAGCAACTTTCTCCAAGCTCTGATTTTCATAGCCACCTCTAATAGTGGATGCACGGCTCCGCTCTGACACCAACGGCACAACATTACACCTTGCAAAACTAGCACAGCCATTTGTGCAATATTAATTGCATACGCCCAGTGCCTCTGTCTTGTGCTGTAGGTGAAAAGTTGGTAGGGCATGAAGGATCCTTGACAAACAGTCTCACCCTGCCAAGATGTCTATCTTGACCTAAATGTGAACCAACTGTGAGTTTCCCCACCACCACCTTCTTTAAAAATGGCACACTAAAAATCACTCCTCATTGTTTGATTTGAATGTTCCACTTCTGAGCTTGTGATCCACATCAAATGATTCCTCTTGAGTCTAAATAGGAGCACAGAGTCTACTGGGATAAGAGCAACAGACGATAAATGAGAGCTTACTCTTTGCTCTTGGCAATCAAGGGGCAGCTACATTGGAAGGTTTTCAGAAATATAGGAAGAAAACCCCCAAAGAAAACCACAGTACCAAGTGCACTTGGAGATGTTCACCACCATCCTCCACTGTGCCTCTTTGACAAGAGCCGGACTCCATGACCTCTCCACTGTGCCTCTTTGACAAGAGCCGGACTCGGTGACCCATGGGGTCCTTTCCAGCTGTGCCGTTCTAAGAATTCTAAGAATATGACATAAGTACATCAACAAAGCTTTTTGGAGGAAAGAGGCAGGATGAAAACAGGTATCTTAGAACTGCTGGGCTGGGAGGGGCCCTCTAGATAATCTAATCCAGCCCCCGTAAGGAGGTCCAACCGCTTAATCCACAGCCAGAGACCATCTCCAGCCTTAGGCAGTAAAGAAAATTTCATGCTACCTCCCTTTTTCCCCAATCATGCAGAAAATATATTATCATTTCATAATCACTTCTATTTTCTATTTGCTTGCCATCGTATTAAGGGGTAAACGTTGCTCAACGGCAGAGTCAGTACTAAATGGGGAATGATAAAGAACAACAACAACAAAAAAATGTAATATTGCAAATGAAAATACTCCAGATGTTGACTAGGAGAGAACCAACCAGCTGGCCAGAATTCTGGGGGTGATTTATTTGTGAGTAAATGAAATTGCAGAAGTTACGGCAGTGAATTTATGCTAATTAACAAGGTGATTTCCAGTGTGGTGTCATGGATAGAGTGATGGACTAGGACTCTGGAGAACAGGGTTCGAATCTCCCCGCTCAGCCGAGAGAGAACAGGGTTCGAATCTCCGCTCAGCCGAGGGAAACTCACTGGGAAAGTGGAACTGGCGTGATGGACTATTAAATATCTCACTTACCTTGAAAGCCCTATTAGGGCCGCTATAAGTCGGTTCTGATTTAATGGCACACAACACACACACACACTGGTTGCGTTCCTGGTCACGTAACAAGAAAGGGACTAGGAATGTAAACTGGCAACTTGTCATTGAGTGGCCTTTTGCCTGCAGAAGTAAAGCAATTTTACTTAGAGGTGCGTTAATCACCAGTAGGATTCTGGCCACTGATTGTGAAACAGAAAGGCCCCGTTTACCCACTGCGGCTAACAGCCACTGACAGCCAATAAGTTTATTGGAAAACTTTAGTATAACTAAAGTGAATAATTCCTAATAATTTTAAAGACATTCCGTCTCCTGATTGATGCCTTCTGGGCACCTTGCGCAGTTAATACGGGCCCAGTTAGACCCATATTATAAAGCTTCTTGCAGAGTTACAGGTAACACCGTTTTTAACGCAATTAACACAATTAAGGAAGGCTTGTATTTCAGCACAAGTGCCAGATTAATCTGTCCTCATTTCCCAGGAACCGATGGCTCTTTCTCAGGCCATGATAAAACAATCCATTTCTCCCCCAAGCGAGCAAGACCGAGAACTCTTTTAGTAATTTCTGCAAATCTTCCACAAACGCCACCGTGAAAAACGCCGGTGTGCCATTATTCTAAAAGCCACTTTCTCTCATATTTCGTACTTAACAGCATTCTGAGTATTTAGTGCCTTTAGAAAAAAGTATACCAGCCTTCCCTTGGTTTCTAATCCTGAAACGCACGGCTCCGTTTCACTGTGTATGCCAATCCCCTTCCAATCAAATATTATTTTTTCCAATTAAACATAACATAAATTAGTTCTTCCTCCCCCCATTATTCTGTGATTATCGATTTTTTTCCTAAAATCATTTCCCAGGAAATATAACTCTAATTTCGAGACTGTATTTTCGGACTATTAGTCCCACCTAAAAGTCCAAGTATGGAGTTAACCAAGTAGGTGAGAATTTAGATCAGCTTGTTTCTGATGGGTCTCAGTTCTGGATGTATGAATATTTGAAAGGTAGTCCTGCAGAGGAGGGGCAGGATCTGTTCTCGATCATCCTAGAGTGCAGGACGTGTCATAATAGCCTCAAGTTACAGGAGGCCAGATTTCAGCTGAACATCTGGAAAAACTTCTTAACTGTTCGAGCAGTACGACAATGGAACCATTTACCTCAAGAGTTGGCGAGTGCTCCAACCCCGGAGGCATTCAAGAGAAAATTGGACAACTGTTTGTTAGATCTCCTTTGATTTAGATTCTTGTATTGAGGAGCGGGGTTGGACTTGATGGCCTTAAGGGCCCCCCTCCAGCTCCATGATTCTATGAATCTATGGCAACGGCTTTAATCCATTCACATTCAAATGGCAAACCTAAGTGAGGCATCTTGAATTATAGCTCTGGGATGAGCACAGCAGTTATTTTCCGACAGTTATGTTCCCGTCCCTCATAAATAAAAGCCTGCCATTTGTGCTCTTGATGCACGTTTAACCTCAATACTGCTGCAGAGTTTGAAATTTCTGGTAAATTCTCTTTTTTCGGGATGCACTGGAAATACAGAGATCCACAGAGGACAATAGCTTCAGATCTCGTAGGCAGACCTTCAGGAGATGCTTAAACCTCCTAAGAATCCACCACCCTCTGAGGCAATCTGACAACTTAAGTTTGTCACAGTTGTCTGCAGTTATGGGTTTCCTGGATTATTTTGGACTACAAGTCCCATAATTCTTCTTCTGGGAGTTCTACCTGACAGAGACACCTTGCAGGTACCTAAATGTGGCACACCTGGGAGGAAGTCTAAAACTCTAGAAGGCCTAAGGAATTGCAGGTTCACCTAGCTTCCTGTTCAAAAGGAAAGCTCCCAGCTTGCACTGGGGCAGGAAAAGGAGGCTTGGCTAGAAGCTAGGCCTACCTCACCTTCCAAGCGTTCTAGTTTAGGCCCTTCATCCCAGGCGAGCCACGTTTAGGGGTCTGTCCATTAGGCACGGTGACTGAAGGAGAGGCCTAAAAATGAATTACATTTTTAAAAAATACATTTTCATACAGTCTCATTCTAGTTTAGGCCCTTCATCCCAGGCGAGTCACGTTTAGGTGTCTGTCCGTCAGGCATGGTCACTGAAGGAGAGGCCTAAAAATTAATTACATTTTAAAAAAATACATTTTCATACAGTCTCGTCATTCACACACATATCAATGACAGTGACCTGTAAAGGAGAACAGGAAAAAAATGATCTTAAAAAAAAAACCACACACACAGCACTCTGTGGAAGTCTAGTGGTCACACCACATCAGTCAATTCAAAGCAGAAAAGTGGCAAATGTATGTACAGTGGTGCCTCGCTAGACAGTTACCCCGCATGACAGTTTTTTCGCTAGACATTGACTTTTTGCGATCGCTATAGCGATTCGCAAAACAGTGATTCCTATGGGGGAATTTCGCTGGACAATATTTGGTTCCTGCTTCACAAACCAATTTTTGGTAGACAATGATTTTGACAGCTCCCTCCGTGCTCGCAAAACGGGGGTTTTCAGGACCTAAGCTTCGCAAGACAGCTATTTAAACAGCTGATTGGCGGTTCGCAAAGCAGCTTTGCTATGGCCGATCTTCGCTAGACAACGACGATTCTTCCCCATTGGAATGCATTAAACAGGTTTCAATGCATTCCCATGGGGAAAATGCTTTTCGCTAGACAACGATTTCGCTAAACAGCTATTTCAGTGGAACTGATTATCATCGTCTAGCGAGGCACCACTGTATCGGTGCAACTTCACCGGTCATCTGGAACTCCAACATTAGGGGAGGCCTAGAATCAAGGAAGAACTGGGTACATATCTTTAATTTTGAGGAGGATCTGAGAGTTGTGAGTGTTCTTACCAGCAAAACGAGAATCACCGGTCCTTGATAAATGTAGTCAATGTACTTCCCTGGCTCCTTTCCGAACCAGCATCTGTAGATAGAAAGTCATTGATTAAGTTAGCGCAGGTCCCATACATCAAGGAAAGTATAATAAGGGCAGCACTATACCTTTAGGAATTATACATAATTACGCTTCCAAATTGCTGGGTGTTCTGTTTTGCTTTCCCCCTAAATTATGCATATGAAATGAAATTGATGGATCTGCTTTCTTTTCATCCAGCCTGTTTCCTTCGGATGGAGATGGTGAATGGCCGATTTAGTCTTATTATAATTTTTAGTTCTTATCCCTAGAGCAGACGATGCTGTCCGCACTGAGAAAAAACAGCCGCCTTTTCTAAGTTCCATTTTCCCAGAGTCTTTTAAGAATTCCATCCCCTACCTATCTAAAAATGGGGTTTTTTTTTGTAAGTCTTGCCAGGAAGGACAGAGAAATTGAGAGTCTGTAATGTTTAGAATTAACACACACCATCTGTATGGATAACAGAGGATACGTGGGGGCTGAAGCCATTAAAACTGCAATGAGAACTCATGGAAAAAATGAACTTTTTAGAAGAGGCCTGCAAAATGGCAGCTGTTCACAACTGGGCAAAAAAGATTAAAAAGAGTTTTTTTAAAAAAAATGCAGGTCGATTGTGAACATTTCTCCTTCTACCTCAAGCCAGAGGTGAGCTTTGAGTGGATAGAGGGAAGATCTTTTCCCTCTCACACCATCCGAGAACCGGGGGACATCTACTCCAATGGAGTGTTGGGAGAGTGTGAACCCACCAAAGAAAATATTTCTTGACCCAGCGTCTTGGTAGTTTGTGGAACTCCTTGCCACAGGATGTGGTGATGGAATCTGGCCTAGAGGCCTTTAAAAGGGGATTGTGCAGTTTAAAAGGGGATTGGGCAGTTTTTCCTGGAGGAAAAGGTCCATCGCAGGTGACAAGCCATGATGGAGATGTATAATCTCCAGGCTTAGAAGGAAGGGACTTCCAAATGCCAGATGCAGGGAAGGGGGATCAGGAGACAGGGATCTCGTCGTTTCATGTGCTTCCAGAGGTATCTGGTGGGGGCCTGGTGAGATACAGGAAGCTGGACTAGATGGGCCCTTGGCCTGATCCAGCACAGAGCTCTTCTGTTGTTCTTCTGAGCTGGGTGGTTGGAAAGGCCATAAACTTTTGAGCATCCCACCTCTTTTTCTAAAATGCATCTACTAAGCCCAGCAAAGATTCTCTTTTTCCAAAGGAACAAAGCATGAAAGAAAATGGTAAGATTCTGGTATCCGACGTTGTTCTCTTCCTAGGAAGCCTTTTGGCTCAGCAGTTTGACTCCTGGCCTAAGTCCCCTGGGTCTTGAGATTAATAGGAGGAGCATCATGATTTTACTCACTGTTCATTTTCATAATAGAGTTTGCAGATAGCCCATGCGATAATGATCGGGCAAGGAATACCTACACGGGAAGGACAAAACAAGGAAGCTTTAGTTCATTGGAACATACGTCACTTCATTAAGTGGAGATGTCATGGTTAGAGACTCAGTCAAGCATTTGAACCAACAGCTTTCCTCTGCAGGAGCCAGATCATCATTTTCCAAAAGAGATAGTGGTCAAAATACTGTTCTGTTAAGTTATGCCTGTGTAAAGGTAATGATGTCCCCAGGGAACGATTTTGGTGTGGTTAAAGAATTCTTGCTTCCAACCCGTTGCTCACCAGACTCTTGTGCAATGAGGTTTATTACACATGAATCTGGTGAGCTCAGGACAGAAGAGGAACTCTTTAATTACAAATCATCATCATCATCATCATCATCATCATCATCATCATCATCATCATCATCATCATCATCATCTCCTCCTCTTACCAAGGACTTAATTACCCTTATGCAGGCATGATTTATGATTTTCCCAAAGTAGTCTAGTGGTTAATGTGTTGGACTGAGAATTTGGAGATTCATCTTCTATTATCCACAGAGCTGCAAAATTCAGCTGGCTGGCCTAACTCAGAGCCATGAGGATGAAGTGGAAGGAAGGAAGGAAGAAGGCTTTCCTTCCCCTTGAGGTGATTCGGAGTAAACGATAAAGTATAATGTGTAAATATAGCAAGTACATAATTAATAAAGGAAATCTACAAGCGATACACTCAAACTGATGGAGAACTCCACCTCCCACTGGTTCCCATTCAGTAACTCTTAACTACCTCCCTGTGCATTCTTATTGGCAGTGGAGACTTGTGCTCCCAAAGTGAGTAGAGCACTGATCCTTCCTGAGTTTCAGTCCAGATTTTTTTTTAAAAGGAACCTTCAAGAGTTGCTAAACTCTTGATAAGCAGGTTTGACAGCTTGAAAAGCTTCTGTAAAGTTTGGACTAAAACCCGAGGTGCATTCCCTGCTCACTGGCCAAGCATGAGGGCACCAAAAGAGAGTCACGTGAGGGTTACCTGTTTATATAAATAGAAGCTTCTGCATTTTTAAACACACCTAGAGCATATTTTTATTTAGGAAGTTCTTTTGTGATTATTTATTTATTTAAACGTTTTTTTTTTTAAAAAAAACACCATGAACTCAACAAGTGCAAAGGAGAGCAAAGCTAAGGTGGTGAACCAGCATGGTATGGCTTCTGAAAGATCCAAAAATCATGTCCCCATTGGACCCAAAAAGCCAGTTACTGTCTTCCAGCTTCTCACCTACCTTACAGGGGTCTTGTGAGGATAATGGCAGACGCGGCATATCCTTTAGAACAAGGAGAGGACTCCCTCTTTTTAAATTAAGGTTATTTCCCATCCATGTTATCCCTCGTTGCCTTGTCATGAGAACCAAACCCCCTTTCGATGGGTGCTTGTGTGAGTGTTGCCGGCCACGGTGTGTGTCGTGCAAGTGTGCCTCCGGTTGTGTGTACAAACACCCACATTTGCCCACCATTGTTAGGTGTCCTTTCGGCCCCCAACCAGCCACCGTGGGCACTACCTGCTACTGGATACAGGGGGAGGAGAGAAAAGCCATGTATGATCCTTGGAGAACATACACGGGAGAAACAGGGAATAGAAAGGAGCAGAAAATATAAACCCCAGAACAGGAAAAGCAAGCAAACACACAAAGAGTTGGATGCTATTTCTTCTCTCTCTCTCTCTCTCTCTCTCTCTGTGTGTGTGTTACGTACACCATCCTATGAAGAGGAAGACCCATTTCCTCAGCTTGTCCGTGGAGTAGGTCATGACGATGGCCGTGTGAAGGTAGCAGCCTTCCACGAACATCCAGAAGAAATTCGTCACCACGAAGTAGTTGAAGATCGTCGTGATGCACCGACACCAGAGCTGGGAAAGAAACCGAAGAAGAGACTCAGCCGTGAGGATTCTGGGAACAGGCGGACCTTCGGGGTGACTCACGGGTAAAACATGATCTCAGGGAGCATCTACGCCTGCTCCGGCAGGGCAGGTATGACCTATCTCTACAGAAACAAAACAAACCAAGCCATAATGATTTCATCGTTTGACTGATCCTCTGCAGATCCTGAGGCCCTACTGCCTTTCAGGATCAGCAGCGACAGCAGGAGGGACATTGAGAAATCAGTGCCTTCTTTCAGGAACCTGGAAGATTGTGGCTCGCAAAGTATAAGATTAAATACTTCAGATATAATTCCATGCGCAGTTTCGATGAACCGTAAAATGGCAAACATTTGATTAAGCTGGAGGCAGGCGGTGCATCATGGCCTCTCCCAATTTGAAGAGACCCTTGTCCAGCAGGCCGAGGCCAAGAGGCAGTCCCGAAAGCAGCCAAACCGGGGAGCTGGACAGGGGAAAATACTGTATTTGTCCTCAGTGTGGAAGGGATGGTCAGTCTCGAATTGGCCTTCTCAGCCACACTAGACGCTGTTCCAAGTCCTCCATTCACAGCACGTTCCCATCGTCTCTCAAGACTGAAGGGTGCCTACAGATTAAGCTGAGCTGAAAGGGCTACCTTGGTTTGGTCAAAGATTCAGGTTCTTGGTCTGCTTTGTAAAACCAACCAAGGAGTCACTACCATGGATAGGGACCTGACTCGCAGGATGTGCGGTCAAGTTGGATTTAAGTTGCACCAGCGACTTGACTTGGACTTGAGTCAGGTTCTCCCCCCACCTCCCCATGATTTGGAATTCTCCCATCCCTCGCTCTTTCCTAGAGGGAAAAAAAAGGTTATTTTTAATAGGACTTCCACTTGGGACTTGGTGCAAAAGACTCAGACTTGAGAGTCAGACCCAAGACTTGCCAACATCCCTATTTTGGGAGTGCAGTAGAATCAAAGTTAATTTTTTTTGGACAACAGTGTCCTGGATGATCTATGGCAACAGAACTATTAAATTTTAAAATTTAATTCCGTATACAGTACATTGATTTTCATTGGGTTGGTGTGTCTCTCCCCACCCCCCCATTTGCTAGTTTTTCCAGGCTTCGATCTAATTTACTGGTGCGAATGTAAGAAATAAATATAGACTTTGTAGACTCCCTGGGACTGCGTCTGGGAATGAAACACCGCTAGGGAACTTAAAGGAAACAAACGAATATATGAGTAAGCCACTCTGCATCCTGAAAAAGAGGAAGGTGGGAAAGATAATAAACAAACAAAAAAACTATTTTACAAAGGCAGAACTGGATAGAGATGAGATGGATCACATCGAGGTACAGTGGGGGGGGAATCGAACTCTCAGCTTCCGGCTCCGTAGCCAGAGGCCTCAACCATTGAGCTTTACGTAATATCATTAATCATTTTCAGCACACCGACAATGCTCCTGGATACTCTGAGATTTCCTTAATGGGATGAACGTGTCAGGATGAAATAATTTAGGAGGACATTTTGCCCAAAGTGTGTGGAATTGATAATAACAATGACTCATGTGCCCACAACAGTAGGAAGAAAGAGTGGTGTTTGTCTCCGTTCAGACTGGAGCAAAGCCTGCTAAGCAGTTTAAATCAGTCCCTTGACTGGACTACAAATCCCAGAATGCTGATCTAGCCCATCCACTAGTCACGTTGGCTGGGGATTCTTCAAACAGGAAGCCAATTTAAAAAACAACAACAACAAAAAAAAACTTTTCTAAGCCCTTGATCCGAAGGCATCTCTACAAAGCCTGCCCTGAAGCGGGACTGTCTCTGTCTTTGTTCCGAAAGGCGGAGAAGAGATGAGATACGGCAGAATAAGGTGAAAAACCAGATATCGGGAAAGATGGATGTAATTCAACCTGACAGAGTCCTATTGTTGAGGACTGGGGCATCGCCAGAAGGCAGACATTATTTACCGCAATGATATCCTTTTCTGAAAAAGGACCAAGAGATTAATAAAGGAGATTTTTTTCCTCCCTCTCTCTCAAGGTACCATCAGGACGTGATAAACCAAGAACATCATAAATTACTGTGAATTTCCTGTAAGGAGAGGTTAAGAAGGAGAGGTGTGCAGAGAGACAGGCAGAGCAGGGCCAAATGTGACGGGTGGATCAGTGGATCGACACCTTTTTTTTTTAATTATCAGGGGCCCAGAAAAGGCAGTTGGTGCTGCAACAGAATGTTGTAGCATGGAATACTAAAAGCTGGATGTGCTGTGAGTGTACAGGACAAATAGCGCCACCAGGTGCAAAGGACAGGTCTCTGGCTTGGAGATGCTTAAAATCTACACGTTGATAGTGGGAACTATTTAACAGGAAGAATAACTGGCAATAATAATATAATCATCTTAGAACTGCAGAGCTGGAAGGGACCCTATAGGATCATCAAGTCCAGCCCCATCAAGGAGGGTCCGTGGGGAATCGAACTACCCAACCTCTAGCTCTGTAGCCAGGTGCCTAAATCCCTGAGCTATCCAGCAGTTTTGTTAATAAGGGTGAAATGTGAAGTAAATGCAGTTTGGCATGGCTTTCGTTTGGAAGCTGGATTAGGGGAAATCTGACGGGGGCTGCAGGCAGAGAAAGTATAAAAATATTTAGGCACAAAAGGAATTGGGATTAATTTTTGTCACGCTGCATAATGCAGCACATTAGAACATCATCGTATCACAGAACTGCAGAGCGAGAAGGGACCCTTAGGGCTCATCAAGCCCAACTCTGTTCAGGAGGCCCAGCGGGGAATTGAACTCGCAGAGATGAGCATGAACTCCTGGTTCAGCCATCCATGCTGATTCGCTTATCGGCCAAACAGATTTTTTGGTGTTTCAAAGCCCCACCTCCTCTGGCAGCCGCCCACTCAGAGAAAGTGCCTGGAGGAGGCAGGGAAGTGAACCTGGGGCGCGGCCTCTGGGTGGATACCCACCGGAGGAGGTGGGGCTTTGAAGGGCTGGACACCTATTCGGCGGATAAACGAACCAGCACAAACGGCTGAGCCCGCAGTTCGTGCCACCTCTGCTCCCAACCTCTGGCTCTGGAATATTTTAAAGTGGTGCACAAATATGTTCTGTTTTTAATGTTCCATTTTTTAAAAAATGGAACATTAAAAAAAACTACTGCTATGATTTGTTCATTTTTTTAAAAAAATGGAACATTAAAAAAAACTACTGATTTGTCAAAGTCGCGTTGTCAGCCTCTTACGACAAAAAAGCAAATGCAGAAGGATTCTAATGTATCTTACAGATGCACTCATTATTTCTAATGGACTACTTCCACCATTGGCGTTAACAGCCTTTTGAGTTTGGGGGCGTTTGAACCATCCACGGCCCTCCCTCTGCAACCCCCAGTTTCTAGCACGCAAGAGTATAGTCACACATCATTAATCGGCTTTTCTGTCTCCAATGTGCAAAAATGTCACTCTAAGCCAACGAAGCTACAAAGCTGCCTGCCGTCAGCTCCCCGGCATGCTTTCTTATGCAGACGGGAGCATCGTACGGCAGACAAAATCGATCTGAAACACTTGGACCATCAAGGAACCGCACACGAAATAGAGCTTCTAAAGGGGCGGGGGTTTTTCTTTCCCTCCAGCATCATTATTTCTGCCATTCTGGAGAGCTTGCAGTCTTGGTGCTAGGAACTTAGAAAAACATTTAATTTTTTTTCACCGCTCGGTCAGGAAAGGAATACCTCGTTGCTCTCGTGAATATTGTGGTCAATCATCTGGAGCATGAACCACATCACATTCCTCAGGATGAATGTTGTGATAAGGTTCCAGTGGATAATATTCCGAAGGCATCGGATGCTCCTGAGGAGAGAAACATTTTTCCAAGTTATTGCAATGCCGATTAGGAACATCCAGGGGGAGAAACATTTGATTTTACTTTCATTTCAGTATCTTTCAGATCTTATGGAAAGCCCAAAGTTAATGAATGACTCTATGTCTTTATGTTAGGCAACAAGTTTGAGAAACAGCCTAGATAGATTTACTGGCACTTTCCTAACATTTTTGGTTGATATATTTTGGATTCTATTGAGACCAGCAGAGAATTTCAAGCACCAATAATAGGTGTATTCCAATAACACCTGTTAAAAACGCAGCCATCTATGAATGTATAAATACGAATTCGGGCATAGCACGACTGTAAGGGCACTGCAAACTTTAACGATGCTTTTTTGGCAAGACTCATTCCATGTAACTCCGGAAGCACTGGGATTTAAAAACACACACACACACAAAACCAAAATAAAAAACAAACCAAAAAAAACGGTAAACCCCAAGAACAGCAACGTCTGTGATTTGTAGCCCTTGGCAGAAAAATAATGGTTTCTACAGATGAAAGGTGAAATCAAGTGAAAGGAAAGAGAGTCCGTGAGTAAGAGAAAGTATATCAAGGTTAAAAAAATAAAATTATAGAAAACTGTAGAGGAGCCTCAAGGCCCCTAGAAAGTTTGGGAATCAGCTTTTTTTCCCTGGCCGAATCTAGGGTAGAAAACCAGACCTCGCCAGAGGGAAGGCAGCTGGACTACACATTATTCTTCTCTGATACTGCAGGACCTCACTAATGAGTAGGGCACGCAATAACCTTGAGGTGGTAAGATTTGATGTGGTAGCTGTTGTTGGGCGAGAAGACCTTCCCTGTTCATCAATATTCTTTTCTCACTGCCTTGCAATCTGTATTCAAGGGTTACATTTGCTGCCTATTATACAGGCTTGCCTTAAAAACAGTACAGCGAGCGTCTTGGTTTTGCACAGAACAGGGTTCATGGTGTCTGGCAAGGCAGTCCTCTTTTTGATGCCGTCCTCTCTTTGAAGCATTCTTTATGCCACCTCAACACAGACAAAAACGGTCTGAAGCTCAACACCAAAAATACTAAGATCGTGGCCACTGGTCCCATCACCTCCTGGCAAATAGAAGGGTAAGATATGGAGGCAGTGACAGATTTCACTTTCTTGGGCTCCGTGGTCACTGCAGATGGTGACAGCAGCCCCGAAATTAAATGACACCTGCTTCTTGGGAGGAAAGTGATGACAAACCTCGACAGCATCTTAAAAAGCAGAGACATCACCTTGCCAACAAAGGTCCACCTAGTCGAAGCTATGGTTTTCCCAGTCATGATGTATGGAAGTGAGAGCTGGACCATAAAGAAGGCCGACCACAGAAGAATTGATGCTTTCGAATTGTGGTGCTGGAGGAGACCCTTGAGAGTGCCTGCAGCATTTTTGCACCCTGCCCTCGCTTACCGGGCAGCGAAAATGGCAGCCAGATGGAGGATTCCCCGCATAGCGGTGAGTTTTTCCCCAATAGGAACGCATTAAACGGAGTTTAATGTGTTCCTATGGTTTCCCCCCCGCATAGCGACAAATCCGGATAGCGACGATTTATCCGGAATAGATTATCGTCGCTATGCGGGGCACCACTGTACTATAAGCAGTTGCAGATCTCAGAAATCACACCATCAGAGGTACAAAAAATGGCAACAGCATACATAATGTGCTGACATTTAACAGATAGTTGTAGTGGGTTTTTCGGGTTCTTTGGCCGTGTTCTGAAGGCTGTTCTTCCTAACGTTTTGCCAGTCTCTGTGGCTGGCATCTTCAGAGGACAGGAGTCAGAACTCTACAAATTTAACAGATACTTGGGTTTTTGTTTAAAAGTTGTATGATACTAGTCAGTATTTTTATAATTTTGATTGACTGTGCCTGATGTTTTAGACAACAACAACAAAACAACAAAACAACAATAACAACAATAACAACAAAACAAAAAAAACAAAAAACAACAAAACAAAACAACAAAACAAACAACAACAACAACAACAACAACAACAACAACAACAACAACAACAACAACAACAACAACAACAACAACATAATAATAATAATAATGTTTTATTACGGTCATTGACCAGCAAAACTAAGGTACTTTATTTAACTTAGGAGACATAAAATCAGTCTAAAAACATTAAAAACACTAAAACACAAAAAAACATCCACAGTATATACATATATATAAAATTACAGTCATATATCTTACTAAATATCTCCTACCTCCCTGTCTATAGGGTTACCATTCAAGTCTTTGAAAAGTGTGATCCCATCGTGCCCCACTCTCCTTTTCTCAAGGCTAAACATGCCCAACAATTGTGGTTGTTAGAAGCCTGCCTGAAAAGGTGCGAAGGGGGCCAGGTTGGGGAGATTCCTCCACAGATAGAAGAGTCCCTTGAAGGGAAATCACTCCCCTTCGAGCAACCGTTCCCGATGTGTTCAGGTGCGCACACCATTGCAGCTGTCCGATCACACCCTTGCCATTCAGGGGCACGTCCAGAGGGAAACTCAAGAGGGTTGACACCGACTGGCACGTCCACACTAATGAAAGAGTGAGAGAGGGTCTTCACCTCAAGCACATGAACAGCAGAAATGCGACAATGAGAGCGGCGACCGAGAGGCAGTGTCCGAGGTAGTTGATGATAATGGCGACCTTGTAATGGAGAGCAGGCTTCATCTGGAGGTGGGAAAAGAAAACGAGAGATCAACATATTTTTCCATGTATAAGACGCCCCCCCCCTTTTCTAATCCAAAATTAAGAAATCTAAGTGGAGCTTAGCAAGGGCAGGGGGAAAGGGATCAAAATGCTGCAGGATCGCTTTGATCCCTGCTTTCCCCTCCACTTGTCTTTGTTCTCTCCTCAGCTTACTTCTGTGTATAAGATGACCCTCAAATTTAGTCTGAAAAGTTTAGACAAAAGTATGGTCTTATACACGGAAAAATGCGGTATACAAAGACCAGGTCAGTTGGGAATTTGTGTTACCTTAAAAAAATGAAGGCATGGCCAAGCAAACACAAATTGCACTAGACTTTTCTGAGAGCCAGGTGGCACAGCTGCTTAATAATGATACATTTATAGAATAATTTATCTTGCTTCTTTGGGTGAAAAAAAATTGCAGTACAATTTTTGTACCCGCAGGGGGATCAGTTCCCCCCTGCCCGTGGATGCTGAAAAACACTAAAGTACGTACAGTGGACCCTTGACTTATAGACGGCTTGACTTACAGACTTTTTGAGTTACAGACTTCTCTGGCTGCAAAATTTGGGTTTGACTTGCAGCCTGAGAATTGACTTACAGACCAGAAAAAAACCAAAATGGAACAAAAACGGCCTGTTACGGGATTAATCGGTTTTCAATGCACTGTAGGTCAATGGAGACTTGACTTACAGACTTTTTGACTTGAGAACCGCCTTCCAATACGGATTAAGTTCTCAAGTCAAGACCCCACTGTATTCAAAAGCTATACAATGCATGGTCTCTGGTGCCCTCTAATGGCCAGTTCTGGTAAATACACACTGGGAATACATATAAAGAAGGGTGTATTTCTGAGATTTTTTTATTTAGTATTTCCAGGCAGTGGATAAATGAATTAGGAGGTACTGATCCTATGGATGGGGGGAGCCCAAAAGAAGTGACTCCGACTTAAGAATTATCCAGATCATCTTATACCTGGCATTTCCGTTGGGATTCAAACTTAGGGTGTAGTCGGACAGTGAGCCAGGATCGTAGCTGATCATGCCGCAAAAAGGGTTGCTTTGCTGGGAGTGACTCTTCCAGTCATCCAGGAACGGCTCACGGTCCAAGTTGGGCATGGATCGGGTTTGATCATGCTGGAAAGGGTTGCTTTGCTGGGTGTGACTCTTCCAGTCATCCAGGAATGGCTCACGCCCGGACCCAAGAGAGAACAACCCTGATGCTGCCCGAAAAGGTCCAAGTTGGGCATGGATCGGGTCACATTCTCCTGTCTATGCACTACCTCCCCTTGAGGTTATGGGTTCCATTGTCGTACTGCTCTAACAGTTAAGAGGTTTTCCCTGATATTTAGCCTAAATCTGGCTTCCTGTAGTTTGAGCACCACTCTTAACACATCCTACACCCTGTTTGAGAACAGATCCAGCCTCTCCTCTGTAGGACAGCCTTTCAAGTCTTTGAAAAAGTGCTATTGTATCTCACTGGAAGGACAGATCAATACTTTAGCCATCTCATGAGAAGAGAAGACTCCCTGGAAAAGACCCTGATGTTGGGAAAGTGTGAAGGCAAGAGGAGAAGGGGACGACAGAGGATGAGATGGCTGGACAGGGTCATCGAAGCGACCAGCATGAATTTGACCAAACTCTGGGAGGCAGTGGAAGACAGGAGGGCCTGGCGTGCTCTGGTCCATGGGGTCACAAAGAGTCGGACATGACTAAACAACAACAACATTGTATCTCCCCTCAGCCTTCTTTTCTCAAGGCTAAACATGTTCTTTCAGTCTTACCCCCTACCAACAACAACATTATATCTCCCCTCAGCCTTCTTTTCTCAAGGCTAAACATGTTCTTTCATTCTTACCTCCTACAGCTTAGTTTCCAGTCCCTTGATCACCCTTGTCGCCCTCCTCTGAACTTGCTCCACTTTGTTGACATCCTTCTTCAAATGCAGTGCCCAGAACTGGACGCAGTAATCTAGATGCGGCCTAACTAATGCTGAATAGAGGGGGACTAGCATCTCGTAAGATTTGCAGATTATACCTCTGTTACTGCATCCTAAAATTGCATTTGCCTTTTTTGCAGCCACATGGCACTGTTGGCTCACATTCAGCTTTGATCTACAAGAATTCCAAGACCCTTCTCACTTGCAGTATTATGGAACCAAGTATCCCCCATCTTATAACTGCATATTTAGTTCCCCCCCCTCTAGGGGGAAATGGGTCCAAGTTGGGCATGGATCAGGACTGGTCCAGTTCGCATTCTCTTGTGCGTCGTGCGCTCGCCAGGAAATAGTTCCCACCAGACTGTGCCACCAGCGGTCTGAAATGTGAGCTATCTCCCCATCTGACTGTGCCCTCATTCACTCATTTTGGAAAAGGAAAGTGGAATCATTCCTGCTTTTTAATATTTGAAAAGAGGCTGAATGTACGTGCTCCTCCTAGATAATATAATCCATCTGTTGAGATTAATCAATGAGTAATAACATATTGCAATAAAAGGTCACTTGAACCTGAGTGAGCTTTAATCAAAGCTGGGATTACCACGAAATGTTTGGTCATAAACTCAGCCTGATCCATTTTAATGTTTTGGGAGATCTCGGCTCTGCAGTGGGGAATAGCCTTCCACTTTAATATTTATCAAATCCTTTGGCATATCTATGAGGAACTTGTCAAATGAAAGTATCATAGGCCTTTCAAGCACGGAGAGCTTTCTGGAAAAGTTCCCGCTCTTGCCTGTTTAAGACGTACCAGGCTGAAAATGGTGGACGCCTCTCTCATGGTGTTGGGTCTGGCAAAAGGTGAGGTGGGGGGAATCCTCATGGTGGTAGAACAGCTATTTCTGCACCCATTTTCTGTGGGTTTTTTGTTTTTTAATTCAAGTGTCTATGAAGAAAACTTTAAGACGTACCAGGCTGAAAATGGTGGATGCCTCTCCTACAGTGGTGGGTCTGGCAAAAGGTGAGGCAGGGGGAATCCTCATGGCGGTAGAAAAGCTATTTCTGCACCCATTTTCTGTGGGGTTTTTTTGTGTTTTTTTTTTTTTAATTCAAGTGTCTATGAGGAAAATATCAAGCGGTGTCAGAACATCAAGCTCTCCCAGGGAGGAAGCTGGTTTAGAGGGGCCCTTCTCTGCCATCTCTAAGGTTACGTTAATTTGGTTCTCTTTTAGTTTTTTTTTTGGGGGGGGGAAATTCAGTGAAAAAAATATTAAAAAGTGAAGTGAATCATACTCACCTCCTCAACAAGAATCGGCTCACACTGTGAATAGTTCACCTTGAAAGCCCAGGTTCCGTTCCCCATGCATTCCCGGTAAACGTTTCCTGGAGGATGAAAAACAAAATAAATTAGTTTGAAAAGTGGGATAAAACTATTTCATACGAACGAATGAATAAATTTAGCCTAAATACTATTTATAGAAGTGAGCAATGTATGGAAGTGAGAGCTGGACCATAAAGGAGGCTGAGCGCCGAAGAATTGATGCCTTTGAATTGGGGTGCTGGAGGAGGCTCTTGGGAGTCCCCTGGACTGCAAGGAGAACAAACCTATCTGTTCTGATGGAAATCAACCCCGAGTGCTCACTGGAAGGACAGATCCTGAAGCTGAGGCTCCAAGACTTTGGCCATCTCATGAGAAGAGAAGACTCCCTGGAAAAGACCCTGATGTTGGGAAAGTATGAAGGCAAGAGAAGGGGATGACGGAGGGCAAGATGGCTGGAGAGGGTCATCTAAGTGACCAACATGAATTTGACCCAACTCTAGGAGGCAGTGGAAGACAGGAGGGCCTCCCATACTCTGGTCCGTGGGGTCACAAAGAGTCGGACATGACTTAACAACTAAACAACGACAACTATTTATATCTAAGAGTGGGCAACCGACCTGTGGCCTTCTGGGGACTCCAGTGCCCATCAGTCCAAACCAACAAGGATAATAGTCAAGGATGAAGAAGACTGTGGTTTAATTATCCTTAAGAAGGCTGCAGGTTCACCAGAGCTGTAAGTAGGAACCTGTCACTGGATCTTTAACCTTGGGCAAGAAAATTTCAAGGGTGAAAACTCTGCCACATGAAAAGCATGATCCTGCCCGCCCTAAGCGCATACAGTGGTGCCGCGCAAGACGATGTTAATCCGTTCCATTGAAATAGCTCTCTTGTGAAAACATCATCTTGCGAAAAGCGTTTCCCCATTGGAATGCATTGAAATCCGTTTAATGCCTTCCAATGGGGAAAATAGTCATCGTTTTGCGAAAATCGCCCATAGGGAAGCCATTTTGCGAAGCGTCGATCAGCTGTTAGAATCGCTGTCTTGTGAAGCATTGGTCCTGAAATCAACTGTTTTGCGAGTCATGGACCTATCTGTGAAAATCATCATCTTGTGAAGCATCGGTCCTGGGGGGGCGGGAACTGTCTTGCGAAGCACGGACTGAAACATCGTCCAGCGAAAATCACCCATAGGAAAGAATGTTTTGCGAAGCACTATAGCGATCGCAAAAAGTCATCGTAATGCAGATTCGTTGTTTTGCGAGGTCACTGTCTAGTGGGGCACCACTGTATATGTCTGCCAGTTACTCCTCCGCAGGGAGAAAGAAACGCAAAGCCAGTGAGGTGCTGGGTAGAAACATTAGGGTGGTTGGTGCCTCAACCCCAGGTTTTCCTCCCTCACCCATCCCTCCATCCTCTCCCCCTTCGCCACATGAACCAAACTTAACCAAGGGGGAAGTGAAAGCCCAGCTGCCCAAAAATCATGTTTTGCCTCAGGGGTTCACCCTCCTCCAAAATAAGAAGATAAACATGACGGAGAAAAGGAAGGACCCAGACTTGCCCCTTTGAGAAGTTAGATTATTTTTATGCCAGTTAAAAAGGAAGCTCGTTTTCTATTCAATTAGCTCTCCATAAATGGAAGGCATTCCTTTGATCCTGAATGGAGACGTGGCGTCATTGAGATGGGATATTTTTTTTGCCTTTCCCCCCCCTCCCAGAACGAGCTGTACAGAACAATCGTGGCCATTTGCTTAATGAAAAGTAGGAGGAAGAAACAAACAAAGAGATTCAATATTTTTCTTCCCTTTGCTGATATATTGATCCCGCCTCCCCCCCCTTGACCGATTTCTCTGAAAGCAAGATAATAATATCAAGAACCATTTAGCTCCCTAATGAATTAATGGTCTGTTCTCCGCCACCACTGAGCGCATTCTGTTGAGAACATCAGATCACCAACTGGAACTCGAGACTTGAGTGGCTGTTTGGGTTCAAGAGAAGAGAGAAGCTGTTGACCCACCACCACCTCCAACTGGGCAAAGCTAAAGAAACCACCGTGTTGTTTGAGGAGAAGGGTCAGCGCGTTTCTTTATTTGCTTGGGGAGATGATTTTGGCTCTGTCTGTCTCTGAAACCTTCTACCAGGAAGATGGAGGAGCGATGGAGCTTCTGGCGTCCATCTGTATTGTGCTCCTCTACCTTCTTGTGAGGACCAGACTGGAATGGGAAGAGATGCTGTCCTTGGAACTGGCCTCCATCAATGGTCCAAGCATTGAAAGGATTTGAAGGGAGAAAAGGAACCTCTTCTGAGAGATTACAACTCAGAATTTGCTTCCAGGGCAGCACCAATTGTAGACCATCAGATCTACGAGGAAGGACTGAAAGAACTGGGCACGTTTAGCCTTGAGAAAAGAAGACAGAAGGGAGATAGGAGAGCACTTTTCAGATACTTGAAAGGGAGTCCAACAGAGGAGGGACAGGATCTGTCCTTGATCCCCCGCAGAGGAGGGGCAGGATCTGTTCTTGATCCCCCGCAGAGTGCAGGACACGTAATCATGGGCTCAAGTTATAGGAAGCCAGGTTTTGGTTGAATAGAAAGAAAAACTTCTTAACTGTTAGAGCAGTGCGATAATGGAACCCATTCCCTCGGAAGGGGGTGAGCGCTCCAATGCTGGAGGAATTCAAGAGCAAATTGGACCACCCTCTCTCAGATTGGCTTTGACGTGGATTCCCTGCCTTGAGGAGGGGGGTAAGAGCAAATTGGACCACCCTCTGTCAGATTGGCTTTGACTTGGATTCCCTGCCTTGAGGAGGGGTTTTTTGACTCGATGGCCTTGTAGGCTCCTTCCAACTCAACTGTTCTATGAATCTGTGATTCTATGGTGTCTCAAAGCCAACTCGGAGTGAAGGCAAAGTGTCCTGTTGAACTCGGCGCTTGGAAACATTTCTTTTTCTGATTACAAATCGCCAAGTCCCTTGGGCAGGTTGGCTGGGGGAATTCTGGCAATTATCATCAAAAAATGTGATCTTCTCCAAGTCAAAAAGGGATCTTAGCCTCCCCATGCCCCTCCACCCCAGACTCGAAACAGGCAATAATGATAACAAAAGGGAAGAATGAGATAAAATAATTGATTGCTCTGCCTTCTTCACTCCCTGAAGGTGCTCCCTACCATGCATGAAACGAAAACTGTTCAGATCAGCTCTACGTCCCTCAAGATGCTACGAGACCTTTAGGAAGAAAAATGAGCCCTGAGGAGACAGTTCTGGATAGTTTTTCTCTGATCACAGCGGACGCAAGGCGGTATTGTTTTCTTTGCCGCTGGAAGGAACATCCATCTTTTCAGCTTCACCAAAGGTAGAAAGAGCTCAATAGAAACCGACGGATCTTTGCTCCTTTCTTGCACACAGCTACAGTAAAACGGAATATGGGAATTTTGTTTTTACAGTAGAGAATAGGCTCACTCTCAAAAAAGACTCCCTGGAAAAGACCGTGATGTTTGGAAAGTGTGAAGGCAAGAGGAGAAGGGGATGACAGAGGATGAGGTCATCGAAGAGACCAACATGAATTTGATCCAACTCCAGGAGGCAGTGGAAGACGGGAGGGCCTGGCGTGCTCTGGTCCGTGGGGTCACAAAGAGTCGGACATGACTTAACTAAACAACAACAACAAAGGTGGAAAGGATCTAGGGATTGTAGTAGATCACAAGTTTAACACAAGTCAACAGTGTGATGTAGTGGCAAAAAAAGGCAAATGCATCAACAGAAGCAGAGTGTCTGGATAAAGGGAAGTAATAGTACCCATCTATTCCACTTTGCTTTCATCGGAACACAAAAGCTCGCGCATTGCATGATCATTTTTTTAGTGGTCTATAAAGGTGTTGCCTACTTTTGCATTTTTATTTTACTTTGTATGGGCCCTGCGGCTCCTGTTTATTTCAATACATTTCATCAGTCCCTCTTAACAAAAATCACTCCAAGGGATCCCTTTACTATCCATACCACATTTCAGGTGTCCCCGTCTAGGGAACCTCCTACAGTTTTTTGGGACAAAGCAAACATATACAAAACATAATGTACGTCCCAGCCTAAATCTCTCTAATTTGTCCGAGATGAAAACTCAAGAGGGTCAAGTCAGGTTGATACGTGGATGGAAGAGGGAATAAGGACATTTTTGCACGCTCCCTAGTTTACAGAGTTTTGTATGGACATTTTAATGTGTGAACTACGCTGCAACATTATTTTGTTTCAGGAAATACAAACGGATATCTCATCTTAAGCCTTGATGGCCAAAGTCTTGTTTCTTAGTGTGGCAAATTGCACTCAAGTAGGCTCACTGAATCCATGGCGACCGAGTGAGCCAATTCATCTGTAAGTTCCATTGATTCAAAGAGTTAGACTCTAACTGTGACAGAGCAAAATTAAGTCACAGCTAATTTATTTTATTCATTTATTTATTTGATTTCTATCCCGCCTATCTAATCAATTAAGATTACTCTAGGCGGCTTAAGAGTTAAGAGTCGGTCCCTTAATATTCAATGGAACTTACAAAGGAGTTGACTTACCCTGTTGACTCAGTGGGCCTACTCTAGTGTGATTTACAGTGCTAAGCAACTGGGGCCAGCGATTCTTGCTTGCACATCAAAACGCCTTTCCCGCTTACTGACCTTCGCTCTGCGATTTTCACCCTATGCAGGCACCGTTTTGCGATTGCATTTGCGATCGCAAAACCGGCCTCGTAGAGCGAATTCATCGCTCTACGAGGCGCCCGTTGTGCGAGGCACCATTGTACAAACGGATATCTCATCTTAAGCCTTGATGGCCAAAATCTTGTTGCTTAGTGTGGTAAATTGCACTCAAGTAGGCTCACTGAATCCATGGCGACCGAGTGAGCCAATTCATCTGTAAATTCCATTGATTCAAAGAGTTAGACTCTAACTGTGACTGAGCTAAATTAAGTCACAGTTAAGAGTCGATCCCTTCGTATTCAATGGAACTTACAAAGGAGTTGACTTACCCTGTTGACTCAGTGGGCCTACTCTAGAGTGATTTACAGCACTAAGCAACAGGAT